TTCTTTCTCTTTTAGAGAAAGGATGTGGAGATTTTTCGTTGAGACATTGTGTTTGTAACTTTGTATATATAATGTGCATTTAGTGAATTATGGGAATACATGTAATGAAGATCTTATATGTCACATTAATCAAATCACTAGATTAGTTAGTATTAGAGGTGTTGAAAGTACGAGCAACTTATGAACTCGACTCGATTAATTAAGCTTAATAAATTTAATTTCTTACATTAGTTTTGAAATTTTTATTATATATCAGCTCGTGACATGACTCAACTCATTAACATTACGAGTAATGAGTTCTTACATAATTTTCTTAACTTTTATCATGTATCAACTCAAATCTGAGCCAAATTGTAGCAGACAACCAAGTAATAAAGTAAAATACACATCTTTATCATATGTTCACAATATATTACTCATATATATATTTCAAATCAACTATCCAATATAAGATAGTTACATTTAAGTTTCTATGTAGTATTTTGATTTCAAGAACTTGTGTCACATTAAGATGAAATATATTCATAATTGATTTTTCATATGTTACACATTATAAATACAGCACTAATTTTTCATTTCGAAAATTGGGGGTCATCTCCTCGTGCACTTGAAATTGAGAAGTGCGACTTTTGAGAAGAAGGTAAAGAAGAATGTGAAAATCTATTTAACGAAAACAAAGGTGATTACAATTTACAATGTGAGAAAGATGTGAATGAATGTTCCTAGACAAATTGAGCGTAATTTACTTTGAAGCAAACACCAGATCCAAAGCAGTTAATATAAAAATAGAAAAAGGTTAAAAGGCAAAAGAAAGATGGGCCGGTTTATCAACTCAACATGAGTCCAACTTCCATTAACTAATTAAGAAAGGGAAAATGTTTTGCTACATTACATCATCCATCCATTACTTATTGTATTAGATCGGTCACCATTAGGTCAATATACATTTCTCACAAATATATATACTTTTATTAGAAAATGTTATATTTTAAAAAAAGTAAAATAAACAGAAGAATAAATATAAGTATACATTTTTCTTCACATAGTATGACGGATCGACTTGTCTAACCATTAGACTGTCTCACATAAGAATTTGTTAAAAAGTTTATCTTGGAGAGAGGAAACCATGAAATTCAGTAAGATTGTTTCAGACGCACCAAACTAATAAACAGCTTTATTTCTCAACAAATATACATATTTTCAAACTTAAATGTCGTACTAAAAAAAAC